TCAACAATGCTATAAACATCTGTGCAAGTTACTGAACCGATATCAGCCCCATTTCCGCCAGGCACATTGCGAAAACAGCGCCCTCCCGTACGCTCGCAGGCCCATGCTGCGTACGCCTTCCAGGCAGAACCCCGACCAGCCAGCTGTTTACGTTTCATGCCAAGATTAACCGCCGAGCGCTCCAAAGACGAATTAAACACGTCTACCCATGACGTCATCCATCGGAAGACGGGCGATGACGGCTGTCGACGCAACCGTACGAGTGCTGTGCCATGGGCATTGGGGACGGCTGCAGTTTATAGCGGATCACCAGATTTGGAACGGAGGTACTGCTATCACCGTGATTTGTATCCTAAAAATGGTCTTTGCTGGGCTGGTTAGCCATAATAATTAGCCATTAGCCGCATATTTAACTTAATGTGGGCGCCTCACTGAAGCTCCTGGTTACGACACGGGATATTGCGGCCCAGTTTAGAAGTTCCATTGGAAAAACACTCCTACAGAGAGCTACATAATCGAAATCTGCAGACTGCTACACAATCTACAATGCTGGAAACGTCGAAATGAGAATCTTCATTAACGACAAACCGTACTAAATCCACAAGTGGAACAATGCTTATTGCAAAAGGGTCTGTTTTTCAGACATCAGAGGTCACTCGTCAGGCTTGGGGTGTCCAGGACGTTGTAATCTACATACGTAACGTACGCAACAGCTCCCGCGACTTTCTTGATCCACTTCAACATCTTTCGTTCATATTTCAAGTATGAACATACGAATGACGCCCACACGTCCATAGGCCTTTATACTGTTTCTGAGCGCGTGGCACGGGACAAACGCCGGCGTCGGGGAGGAGGCGAGACCCAGTCAGTGGACAGGCCATATGTGCCGGGGGACAAACGAGTCGTCCCAGGCGAGGGTTCATTCACCGCCAGGGAAATGGAAATTGAATTTTCAAATAGAGATTTTATCAGCCGACAGCCAGGATAAGCCAATTAGATCTGGCGCACTTTGGCTGACGGGATGTGCGAGGAGGGGAACTCGGCGACCCTCGTGCAGCCTAAACGACCTGCGCGAGTGTGCAGGCGCAGCACATTGACCTTGGCCGTCCAGCCTTCATCACTCTGGCGAAACCAGCTACGACCCTTCACCATGGCAGCCACTGTGAGGTGTTCCGCAACATTAAGAAGTTGTGCAGGTCTGGAAAGGTTGGGGCAGGACTCGAAATAGCCCATGCTTGCCTTGGCAACTGCAGTCCAAAGATCCTTACGGGCGAGTGACACAAGGCCCAATAAATATCAGATGGTTCCTGTTCGTTTCCAAAATTTAAGAGGCGCGGGCGGACTTCCGAAATTGCATTGCGTCCAAATGTTATTGGAGTTCATGTGCTGCCCGTTGATGGCGTTGGTGCATGACACGGCCATATACAAGAAGGTGCATAGTGGATCTGAATTGAATCATCCCGTGTTAGAAGAAGCACCTGTCAATTGTCTGTAGCGTATCGCTTGCAACTGGCAAATGCAAACGGCTTCGGCTGCCACTGCCCGCTACACCACCCGACATATAACTGGACCAAACGCGTCGACAACGTAACATCCCGAGAGCAAGAGCTGCCGGTCACTGGGACACCTTCGGCTACGGCAGGCGGTTGGTCTCGAGATGGTGGGCGACCCATCTCGTGAAGCGGCATCGCCACCACTCGACCGTTGACAGGTGACGGTGGCGGGGCTCCCAGAACGCCCGCGTGGCCACCAGCGGTCTCGCCGCCAAAGCTTTCCTTGAACCGACTCGATTGCTTTGGGAGCTGGGACGGCTGGTGTGGTCCCCTCGGTCTCGCGCTCGGATGGCACGCTCCAGTGGCCACCAGGGCGGGGTAATGACGGTCATTAGCTCGGTGCATTTGAGGAGAGCCACCAGCGCGGCGGACAAAAACACCGCGGGCAGCCGGCGGTGGTAATCAACCGCTCACAAGTGACGGGTACGATCGCACCGAGCGCGGCACTGTTTGCCTCGCCCGGCGGTTTAGCGTGGAATGAGCGACAGGGTACCTGCCACGGCCGCCTTGTGGGCCCGGACACTCGAGGAGTGCCTCCTAAAGAAGCAAAACAACAAATCGGTTCAATAAAAACAAAGTAGCGAGGTAATAGCCTCGAGGGGCGCTGTCTGTTCCGTTACTAGAAGTAGCCACTGCATAAAAACAAAAGCCGCCAGGGGTCCGCCTTGCGCACCCAGCCTTCGGCCGATCCGCGGCCGGTCTTCCTCCGCAAACCCCCGGGCCTGAGCGCATCCGAGAACAGCGTGCAACAGCTGGAGGCAGGTTGGAGTGAGGACGAGCAGCCGCAGTAAGCGATACAATGACGAAACTCGCACATGACTTTATGCAAAGCACTTTCAGGAGACGAGCAGCAGCAGCGGCACGCGCTCGCTTCTCGAGTCAGCACGCCGCAGCGCCGTCTGTTGGTGGCTGCCCGCGCCCAGCACCCGGGTTTACGCCACTTCTAATGGCACGACTTGAATCGTCGGTGATTGATCACCGGGCTGACGTCGACTGACAATGGCCGAATCGACCTGCTCATGATCCGCAACGGACGGCGGCCCCAAAGGCGCGCGTCGACGACAGGCGGGCCCAGAGCGGGCCGCTCCACTGGCGGGCGGGCGAGGCCAGCCGTCGGCGGCGACGTCGACCCGCCCCATACAGCTGCGGCTCCCTGGCGCCAGCTGATATGACCGAATGTCTGATGGAATGGATGTTGAGACTCCCGGGTGTGATCTTCTCAGGCCTCGCAGGACCAGGCCATCAAGCACCAGTGGCGTGTTTGACATTGCTGTACTGATAGGCAGCGCATTATCCCGCGCCGCGCTAGGGTTTCTCTCCAAGCGCAATTCACTGCACTGTATTGCATTATGAGATAAGTGGTTACAAGTCATGCGACGTGAATGTGCCGGTGGATATCAGTGGTATGTGTGGTAGATGTAATGGAGAAAATTGGAAAGAGAGAGGACTTGAAGTTGTATATCCATAAACTTAATGCGTTACAATAACCTTGCTCATCGTGTCGTCCAGAATTGTGAGTGCATGCCATTGATCCCCTAATGCAGAAAATATCACATTAGTTAAGATGAAAACCTAGCAGAAGTCAAAAGGACAATATCCACGGAAGCGACAATACCAGACGCAAGGACAAAGCCTTGCAATGGATAACGACATGCCTAAAGAAAAGCAGCTGTCCACCCATTCTAGCCTGCAAGCCCATGCGCACGTGGCGAAAAATCAGTGGACGCACCCAAACCCCCATCTAGACTCCGCACTCAGATTTGAAAGAGACGCTACTATCCGCTATCAGCAATTTCAGTCACGTGCACTGCACGTGGCTGCAATGTCAACCACGTCTTCCTGGAGGCAGCGTGATTAAATTACCCCAGTTGAAATGGGGGCCGAACGGACGGCGCGGGCTGGGCAGCTGGCACTGAGCCAGCGGGCTCATCCGGCGGCGTCAGTACCGATGGGCGAAGAGCGCGGCTGGCGGACAGCAGCCAAAGCCGTCGCGTGTTACGACACGGACCAGTATGCCGCGACAGCTCGAGCAACATGGCTCCCGACAGAGCGCTTCTTACTCCGGTGTGATGGCGGCTTATCGCTATCCCCGATCTGATCATCAGGGCCTGCTTTTTCGCTGTGTCTGCCATTCGCAGAACATGGCAGGACTCAGCGCCCCTGCTATCAAATCCGGCGTCGTGGCACCGTGAACCCAAGTGCTGCCAGCCCTAGAACAGCGCTTAAGCGTCAGCGAACTGCCGGATGTTCGCTGCAGCGAACGGAAAATGCCTTGATGACAAAAGATTTGCACATGCAGAGACACGAGTTGTTGACTAGTTTACGAATTCTCGGACACGAACATCAATGTAAGCTTGACGGGTGTTTAGACTGTACGCGTAGTTACCTGATCTGGTCGCATTGCCATCTCCTATTTGTTGACAGCCTGCATTCGGTTCTAAGTAAGCCTATAAAGAAAATTCAGGAAATCTTTCTTTTACTGTTATCGTCCACAACAGCGCACGTGCTTTTAAAAGGAATGAATGATGCAAGAGGCCTGTGCAACATTTAGTTGTTGGAGAAGGGCGAAATTGTCATCTATCATAAAAAGATCTCGATAAAAAATGCGTCCCTTGGAGCTGTTAGTAAACTATACTTCTCCCAATCGGTATATGACTGCGAACTCCAACATTACGCACCCATTCATCTTTCTCTTGAGATGTAGATTACTTAGGATCAAAGCAAAACCTGGCCTCAGCTGGTGGCCAGTGCTGCAGTTTGGCTCCTGCTGCTACCGGGACATACGGATGACAAAGCGCGACATGCCATGCGCCTGCGTGTAGGCTCTCGCTTACGGTGCGGATTGGGATTACAGCCGGAACCGAACAGGCGGCGACAAATGCGTCCAAAACGCCCTGCACTATGTGGAGGTAAACACCACCTGAAACCACTGTCTGTCATGCATCGTCATAACGTATCTATTAAGCTTCCACCAAAAATGAGACGTCTTGGCCATCGAGCCTGGTTATAAGAGAGCGAACGTCGCATTGTAACATACTACGGAGGTGTTTTTAGGGTTAACAACAGGCCTGACATACGCCTCACGCACAACGTCGTTCTCGCAGATGATTGTCGCGTTCCAACCCCGACCAGGACGCGGATTCATGTCTCCCCCACACATTACTGGGACGACAGCCACGTGTTCCAGCTCGCTCCTCTACCAATGTGTCGACAGCCGCGTGTTCCAGCTCACTCCTCCACCACTGTGTCGACAGCTGCGTGTTCCAGCTCACTCCTCCACCACTATGTCGACAGCCACGTGTTCAAGGCCGCCCTTCCACTCGTTTAGGACCGCGCGTTTTCGCTGAAGGCTACCATTCGCCCCAGCCTAACTCCTATTCAGAGAGCAGGCATCGCGTACTCACAGATGACCGCCACGTCTCGCGCTCCGATGCGAGCCGCACTCACCGTTGGCGCTATCTGGAAACAGAGAGAAAGCTCGGTCAGGGCCAGCACGCTCCAGGGCAGGCAGAGCTCGTACCGGAGGAGAGCTGGGCGATAACCGTAGGTCATTTACACCACGGCGCTGAGGTATGAGCTGATAGTCATTAAAATGATTCAAACGACATTGTTAAAGAGAACATGACACCTTTTACACTTCTCAGTTATTGTTAGATCAAAAACGTATGATTTGATCAGTAATACCAATTTCCTCGAAATTTTTCGGAGTAGTTGTGAATTTCGATTTGAAGTAGCCGCTCTTGCGGGAGAAATATCATTGGACTCCCTGCCCACCGTTATGAAAGTAATACACTCCATTCGCCTTGCTCTTTAAATCTTTAGTGTTTGCAGCACATTGGTTTGTCAAAACATTTGTGTAAGAAATGCCACGAAAGCTTGAAACGTCATGTTTAGAGCTCTGCAATTATCCCGCGAATTAAACGAAATGTTATACTATGGCTTTGGTTCTCCCATTTTGGCATTTATTACAGCAGATCTTTTCGAAGTGCACTTTGGGTTAGGGAGGCGGAGCATCCCATGGTCTATTGTGACGCACTGGTTCAAACTTTATCCAACGCGCTTCTCGGTACCCAGCCCTCGCCGCCCGCTGTGCCAATCACAAACGTTCGTTTGTACTGACGTCATGCAGTAGCAGCTGACGGCGGCTCCAGCAGATTTTACCGACGTCATAATGACGGTTGTCGCGACTTCAGGGAAGAAGTGCAGTGCCATTGCAAAGCGTTGGCAGCGTGATTCGAACTTGAAAATAATAAAAATCGAATTAATAGAATGTATGACTATTGCGTCTTGATGCTGCTGCAGTGTCACTACCCAGTGTTATTACAAGACGTAACTGGTCCTGAGGTTCCGCTAAGCATGTTCTTGGAATATGTCTCAAAGATGGGAGACCCCCTTTAATATGACTCTAGTTAATGCTACTGATCTTCAGCTTGTTCGTTGAATTTCATAGCCCGGATGTGATTCAGGGGATATGGCAACGCAGTGGCTGATGAGGGCATGCAATGTAACCCAGCACAGAAAGGAAGAACCTTTTTGAATAAAAAGCAGGGCATATATGCCCTGTCATATACCTTGCAAGTCATAGACGGAACACATGCATGCTAGAATCGGAATATGATGCCATGCTGCAAGGTTTCTCAAGATTTACAAGAAGTTTCCAAAATCATTTCAAAACAAAACACCCAAATTCGTCGTCCTGCGAGCCCAATGCCCGGGTTTCCTGAAAAGATATCAGATAAGACAGGCCAGTGTGTCTGTCTTTCCAGAACCTGACAAGATTTCAGCGCCATTTAGATGCGTTCCAGGGAAATTTCCTCCGCCGGCGAAGCCCGCGGGGGCAGTTCTAAAGTTGCACTGCGCCAGAATATCACTTAGTTGAATGCCTCCATCTTTATCATAGCAAAATGGATTCAATTCAACTCCGTTTCAATAGACTACCTCCTCTTCGAGCATCCAGTCGGCTGCACACCGGCGCGAAATTGCCCACTCGGATGGCAATCTCATCAGTTCGGTCATGGTTTTTCGCCGCTGTATTTGATTCCGACTACACTGATATTGCGGGAAGCGCCCCCGCAGCCGGCACGTGACAGCAGACCCCTCCTCACGACTCTCTGCTATCCCCGCCATCCGCAGCGGGGCGGTGGTGTAATACCGGCCAGAGCAGGCGGGCAAGAAGAGCCAACGACACTCCCGTGACACGTGACAGTCGCAGAAGTGTCACGCAAGGTTTCACGGTCCACCAGAAGAGCCTAGAACTGTTTCTTCATATCGCCATTAGTTATCTAGAAGTTTAATACGCGCTTGAGTAAGGGGTCAATTTGAACTCCGAATGTTTTTTTGGAATTATTTCCTGAATGGCACGGCAAAGCCGGAAATTTTGCGTAGCCAAAGCCGCGAAATTTTGCATAGCTACAGACAATTAAATGGCCAACCTTTATCATGATATAAATTAGATGCATTTAACGATCACAAATTCCATAGTTCCATATGCTAGCGACCACAAATTGTAAGGTTGCTAACCATTGGAACACCAACGTCAGGCCATGGCTGTCAGCGAGGGCCATTTTAAGGGAATTCTTCAATCTGATGCGACAACGAAGCCTAAAACGAAACCATGCATATCTACGATAGTTTCTTAGGCAACAAACCAACTGAATTTAGAGTTAAAACAAATTTCATTGGCCTAGGGTCAGGAATGAAGGCCTGGTCGAGATGGAAATCACTCTACTTTTTTACTCGAGTGCTTGCTTTGTGAGATGGTTTCCGACCCTCACTTTATTTTTATTAATGACATGGACCGCAACAGACATACTCTAAGGATTTTTCAAATGTCAGATTAGGTCATTGGCCTAAAATGATCCAGGCCAACATGTTGCTTTTAGGAACGTGCCTTCTAGCGTAATCCCTGCCTCTTATTTGAATGACAAAATATCATCAGTCTCGTAGTTTTTGGTCACCTTGACCTTCTCAAGGTCAGACAGGGTTACTGGTCCTAAATGAACACCACTGACCTTTTGCTTAAAACAAGTATCTAGGTTCACGGTGGTTGCATGAGGAGGCCGGGGGCACTTCGGACACCGATCTTGAGTATGACTGTTTTCCCTTATTTGACCCCAAAGTGACGACCTAGGAAGCTCAAGTTTTGATATGACTTAGTTCACATACAGATCAATCCACACGGTGAATTTGGCTTCTCTAGCTATCTTATTTTTTAAGATCTCAATGGGTCAAATTGACCTCTAAGCAAAGGGTATTTAACCTGTCGCCAGGGCCCGTGTTTAAGTAATTACCAGACGAACTGCTTCCATACTGATAAGCGTATGTAATGGATAACCCTTCAGATATAAAAATATGTCACCTGACCAATATGTGTAAAGCGCAGCAGCAGACATCCCGTTTGGAATGCACATCCTTCGCATCGCACGGACTCAAATATGTAAACAGTTGCAGAGAAAATGATGGGATCATCGTTAAATGCCCAGTGTTTGTATGCCAGTGTTATATGAAAAGTCGGTATAAATTTAGATGGGTACGTGAATACACAAACTTATTCACGTCCATGCAGTGCCGCACAGCAGGGTTGGGCCCAACGGTCCTGATCCTTCCCTAGTGAACATAGAGCCCTGGGGCATCGGAAGTGAAGACCGGCAACAGCGCCCGAAAAAGACCGTTTTTACATCGTACCAGACGGAACACAAAAATATGATATCAAGGGGCCCCGATCCAAGACAAGAAGCCCTCTATGAGGGTCTTCATCTGTCGCCAAGGACTCCATCAAGCATGAAGCGTTCCTATCATGAACCCCGCGGCATCGTGCCCTCCCCGCAACAAATGTGTGCGTGCGTGCATGTCACTGACACACACGCAACAGCCCACGATTGCGACAGACGAGACTGCACGTCGAATGAAACCGCGCCGGCCGTTCCATCGACCCAAGATGACCGCCGCTATTCATAAGGCGTCGTCCGGCCACGAAGCGCCGCTGACGCGCCAAAACAAGCCGCCGCCCGAGCTCGCCCTCAATTAGCATAATCACCGTAAAACAACTCGCTAAAACAAAGCGGTCGCGGCCTCATCCGGACTGCCAGCGCCGGCCACGGCCCGGGCCGAGTCCTCTTTTCAGCTGTCTGCGCCGCCGGCGCGGCGGCCATTGTAAGCCTGATTAAAATAGCAGATCTGTCTGGGCGTGGCGCTTGGCGGCCAGGCTGTCATGAGAAATGCGGCTGTGACAGGCGGCCGAAGCCAATCGGGCGCCGCCATCGGGCCGGCGCCTTTGTGAGACAACAGCGCCGGAGCCGCATCAGCGGTAATCTGCACTGGATCCATGGGCCCAGTTATTGGATTCCTATCGAGTCGCTCGACCGTCGCGAGTCGCCGGCTAGATAGGCGGTCGATGGAGTCCTCGCTATCGACTGCACGACAGGAAGTCGGCGCCGCGTGCTACGCACCGGACCCGCGGCGTACCCAGCGCGGCGTTCACTGAGCAGGACTCTGGCCACGCTGATTGTTCTTGAGTAGGCTCGCGGTGCTGCAAAGCGACCGGGAAGTGCCGCGAGCTCGCGGGGCTAAGCACGACTCGGCCGGCCGTTTGTTTGGAGTGGCTTGGGCGCGGAGCCCGGCGGAGCACAACAGCCCCTTGAACCGCCAACCTCGCAATGCTTGATCATCATCCAGCAGGTCGAGAGCCTCTAATGGGTCCTAGAAACCTCGGTAGTTCCCCATATGCGTCATTACGCCAAGCCCGGCGCGTTCTCGTCCCAAACCGGCAATTAATAGCGCTCCGATCAGGCATGCATTGAAGCAGACGCCGTATTAATGGCGGAGGTAGCCGGCATTAAACGCTGCATGTGGCGACGGAAGCGAGCGGAGGAACGTCCGACTCGCCGGTCGCGACGCAAATGCAACTCGAGCGAAGTAGTTATTTTCAGGAAATTGGACGCCTCTGTAAAGTCGGCCAGCGGCGGCGGCTCCAACAAAAGATTCCGGCGGCACAAAGCGGGAAATAAGCATTTCACTGGCATCGTGTATGGTGGGTTTTGCGGCAGCGTCCACACGGTTTTCCAGCTATGTATCTTTAGTAGATTACAGTGCCCAATAACTACGCAGCCCTGAATGAAGGAATATCAATTCATGCGAAACATTCTGAGGAGTAAAATGCGTCGGAGCTGCTAGGCAGGATGGATTTCGCAATGCGTGACAAGCCGATTTTTACAATAAGCGCGAGTAGCAGTCAATAGGTTTGAACTTACGCAACGCTCACGGATATTGAAAAGCCAAAAAGCTTACTCAATCCTCCAAACCATGCGCCGTTTGCTGCACATCACATCACGGAACACCGTCTCGTCTCCGCCACGTATCCTCCTCTGTTGTGTAACATCGGCGTGCCGGGCAGCACCCGAGCCCGACAAGCGCATTATTTCCGAGTCGGCGTGCCGTAAAGAACTCGCAGGAAGCGTGCG